TGTTATATAAAGAGAGGCTCCTGACTGTTCAGACCACTGCAACGCCAAGCTGCCCCATACCCGTGACTCATCCCGATGCCTGATGGGGGCTGGGTATGGGGGAAGGAGCAGGTTGGACAGAAGACCATAAAGAACTGAGCCTCAGAGAACACTGAGCATTACCCTCAGGTATCAGACACCACTGTCTCAGTATATTTATTAAATCCTGTTACTCTTGGGTGTTACTGCCCTGGTGGTACTCTCGGGTATTACTCAATGTTGTTACTCTCTGGTGTTTCTCCTCTGATGTTACTCTCTGGTGTTACTCCCCCAGTGTTACAACATTAGGGTTATTACCATGATATTGCAGTAATATTGCCGAAGGCTAGTTTAGATCATCAACAATTTTGGTGAAACATCTTTCTCTGTCATAGGAAACAAAACTTAGCAAGTGTTGAAATTTGACTGATTGTTCATTTTCAAGATTATTTAGTATATCTTAATAAATAAGTCTGTTTACTGTGGCTGCCTTTGCATGAGTTCTGCATGCAATCTTCAAGCTAATCATAATAATTACTTGCTGTCAGACTCACTCATAGACAATGTGGCATCTTTGTGAGAAATTTAACAAAAATGACTGAGGAGGAGAAAATAGAACAATTACTGGTCACCAAAAGACACTCGTCTTCCGCCATATGGAAATATTTTGGAGTCCATAGAGACGATACTGAACAAAAACAAGTGATTTGTCAGCCCTGCTGTGTGTTGGCACAACTGGAGGCAACATCACTAACTTATTTGACTGACTCTGTTGCTAGATAATAACAAGTTATCTCCCTCTGCTTTATAATTGTCACAATATTTATTGCAAAAAAATCACATTGCGATATTTTACATTTTTTCAAGATCATGTAGCTCTAGATGTAGTAATATTGCCGACAATAGTGTCCTGACATTACTTCTAGGTGTTACTGACCTAGCTTTAGTCTCGGGTGTTACTCTCTGGTGTTCCTCCTTCAGTGTTACATCCCCAGTGTTACTCCTTGATGTTATTGTCCTGGCAATATGGCCTTGGCACTGCTCTCAGATGTTACTCCCCCAGAGTTAATCTTGGGTGTTATTCTCTGGTGTTCCTCCCTCAGTGTTACACCTCCAGTGTTACTCCTTGATGTTATTGTCCTGGCAATATGGCCTTACTCTTCGGTGTTATTCTGTGGTGTTCCTTCCTCAGTGTTACACCTCCAGTGTTACTCCTTGATGTTATTGTCCTGGCAATACAGCCTTGGCACTTCGGTGTTATTCTGTGGTGTTCCTTCCTCAGTGTTACACCTCCAGT